GGAGCCTTACGGGCCCGAGCAATGCACACAACAAGCCCCCAAACCCTAAAAGGTTTGGGGTTTAGGGTTTGGGGTTTAGGGTTTAGGGTTGTGGGCTAAGGGTTTTGGGGGGAAAATGAGCCCTAAACCCGAGGAAGTCAAGCATATTCCTACATGTGTGGCAGTGCAGAATGACGGGGAAGGTGATGTAAATTCGGCCATGTTGCCTTCCTACTTTCCAATCGACTGATGGCCAGAAAGACTGAGGGTTTGAGGGTTCGTCATCTCGCAAGCCAGAGGCTGCTCTGTCAAGCCCTACATCTATAAACCCTGTATGCGTATGTCATGATTTGTCCTGCGTGTGTGCTAACGTAGTACCTGAACCAAAAACCTTTTAAAGCCATACTCATGGCCAACGCAGTAAGAACCCAAACCCCAAACCCCAAACCCCAAACCCGAAACCCGAAACCCTAAACCCTAAACCCTAAACCCTAAACCCTAAACCCTAAACCCTAAACCTGTTTGTTCCCTGCAGGCGCCAGGGGTCTTGCGCGTCGCAAGCAGAACGTGGTTCTGCTTGTCATTAGGAACCAGGGGGGTGTAAGTGAGTGGGGTGTAAGGGGCCAGAAACCCTAAACCCTAAACCCTAAACCCTAAACCCTAAACCCTAAACCCTGCATAGGGGAAGATGAACTCCCTGACCCCCCCGCCCCTCCCTTGCGCACCCCGGGTTCCTGATGCTGAACAAGGCTTCAGGTACTCCAGATATCGGCGTTCGGGTCCCTTGGGGTTTAGGGTTTGGGGTTTAGGGTTTAGGGTTTAGGGTTTAAGGCTTAGGGTTTAGGGTTTAGGGTTCAGGGCTTGGGGTTTGGGGCTTGGGGTTTTGGGTTTAGGGTTTCGGGCCAAGGGTTGAGCACGCAGGGGCGTGGCGCGGAGGTCTAAGGCCGCTGGTTTGGGGCACCTGCAGCCAGCCGCTAAAGCCTACCCAGATGGACACTCGGCCCGGCAGCATCGACACTTCGGGCTCTTTAAGCCATGTGTGGGTTTACGAAAATGAGGGTTGAGGGTTTAGGGTTTAGGGTTTGTAAACCCCAAATAGTAGGAGTCCCTTGGAAGAAGGAACCCCAGTAAGGTACCCCTAATATCGGAAACCCCCATTATTGATGAGGATGTTGGGATGTTCTCCCTTATACTAACAGTCCTGAAGAGGAATTATACTACCCCCCGATTATGATCCTTATTAAGGACTGATAGTACAAGGGGGAGCATCCCGATGAGGATGCTTCAGGTAGCTGCGATGTTTTATCAGAACATTGCTTGCCAGCGCAGCCATTCAAACGGCCCATCCGAGTAACAAGCCTCACTGCCAGGAAAACTATGGTAGGGAAAACCCTAAGACCTGAACCCTGAACCGTAAACCCAAAAACCTGAAAACCCTAAACCCTAAAACCTAAAAACCCTAAACCCTAAGCCCTACACCCTACACCCTACACCCTACACCCTACACCCTACACCCTAAACCCTAAACCCTAAACCCTAAACCCTAAACCCTAAACCCCAGCCACCCCAGGTGACCCCGAGGCCTAGGACCCTAAACTAAGCGAGGCCCTGCACGAAAGCACTGCAGAGTATACCCGCGAGGACATAGCAGTTGAACTTGGGAACCCTACAACAACAAAGAGGGCTTAGGTTTTAGGGTTTAGGGTTTAGGGTTAAGGGAAGAGGGTTTAATCAGGATTTAGGGCTTAGGGTTTAGGGTTAGAAACTCCTGGAAATACACAATTACTGTAGGAAACCACCCCCCAAAACTTATCTGCTGTTGGAATGCCACGCGGGTGTTTATGGTCACTTATTCAACCAAAACCTGGTACAAGTAGAACATGTGTTCAAGAACTGTCCAGAAAGGGCAACTCGGATACTAGCCCCGAACCCTTAAACCTAAACCCTTGGTAGCCCATTAACCATGTTATGATAAGGGCAGCCTCTTTTGGGGGTGGTAACTTTTGAAGGGAACCCAGAACCAAAAAACACGGGTAAAGGGCACCACTGGGCAACCAAGAACCGCAATCATGCCCCCCCAAAGAAACCCTAAACCCTAAACCCTAAACCCTAAACCCTAAACCCCAGACCCTAAACCCTAAACCCTAAACCCTAAACCCTAAACCCTAAACCCTAAACCCTAAACCCTAAACCCTAAACCCTAAACCCTAAACCCTAAACCCTAAACCTAGGGAGTGGCGTCAGGGGCTCATGTGGCGTACCACGAGCAGCGCCACACTCAGGTGCTGGGTGCAGGCCGTGCTTGCGCCGCAGCGGCAGCCTCCGACCTTCTGGCGCTGAAGGCTTAGGGGCTTAGGGGCTTAGGGGCTTAGGGGCTTAGGGGCTTAGGGGCTTAGGGGCTTAGGGGCTTAGGGGCTTAGGGGCTTAGGGGCTTAGGGGCTTAGGGGCTTAGGGGCTTAGGGGCTTAGGGTTTAGGGTTTAGGGTTTAGGGTTTAGGGTTTAGGGTTTAGGGTTTAGGGTTTAGCGTTTAGGTTTAGGGTTTAGGGTTTAGGGTTCAGGGTTTAGGGTTTAGGGTTTCGGGTTTAGGGTTTAGGGTTTAGGGTTTAGGGTTTCGGGTTTCGGGTTTAGGGTTTGGGGTTTAGGGGGTTAGGCGCAGGGGTTTAGGTGTCGGGGTTTAGGGTTTGGGGGGTTTAGGGTTTGGGGTTTAGGGTAAGGGGGTTTAGGGGTTGAGGGGTTGCGAGGTTCAGGGGTCTAGGGGTTGACTTAAGTCATAGGGTTTAGGCGTTCAGGTTTTTAGGGTTTACAGGTTTAAGGGTTTAGAACTTAGGGTCTACAAGATCTAGAGTTTGGGGTTTGGGGTTAGGTTCTGAAAGTCTGGTGGGGTTTCTGGGTTTGGGCTTTACGTAACCTGGCGTTTCGGGGTTGGTGCTCATGGCTTCCTTCATCTGCAATCCAGACGGACTCACACACGGGGTGGATGTGTGTCCCCTGCAGACTCTGCCGGAACTTGTTGTAGAACAGGGTCCGGTGATCGATTAAGGCGTCCAGGGGCAGGTCGGACAGGCTCTTACCAGTGGGCATGCCAGTACTACCCTTTGTATGCTTTAGGGATTTGCCCTAAACCCCAGACCAACACCAAAGCCTAAACAGCTCCAGCCCAACAAACCTTGTCAGCCCTCACCTCGAAACCCAAAACCCTAAACACCAAACCGGAAAAGAAGCCCTAAACCCTAAAGCCTAAACCCTAAACCCTGACAAACTCTAAGCCCGAGTCTGCAGCCAGCTAATTTCTGAAACCAAGGGGCTGGTACGCGGAGTTCACCTTGGCTGCTGTGCGAGGTCCCTCGGAGCTACGGGTTTCGGGCTTGGCGTTTGGCGTTTTTGTCGGGTGAGTTGGCTGGCATCTTGGTTCGGGGTTTTGCATTCATTTAAACCCTAAACCCTAAACCCTAAACCCTAAAACATAAACCCATCTAACCTTGGGCATGCCGAAGCTGCGCACCTGAAACCTGATCCTTGCAGTGGGAACGCCGAATTTCTCACACCCGACAACCTAAACCGTGAACTTAGGGTTTAGGGTTTAGGGTATAGGGTATAGGGTTTAGGGTCTAGGGTCTGAGGGTTAGGGTCCACTAACCAATGAGAGCTTGCTGAGATCAGCTGGCGCCACGTCCAGCCGACACACCGGGCAGCGGAAAGCCTCCCATGTGATCAGCAGCTCGAGTCAGGTTGGGGGTTTAGGGCCGAGCCTTAACCTTGGACCCTAACCCTACGCCCTACACCCTACGCCCTAAGCCCGAGGCCCCAAGCCCCAAGCCCCAAGCCCCAAGCCCCAAGCCCCAAGCCCCAAGCCCCAAGCCCCAAGCCCCAAGCCCCAAGCCCCAAGCCCCAAGCCCCAAGCCCTAAGCCCTAAGCCCTAAACCCAGTCTAGGTTGTATAGGGTTTGGGGGTTCAGGATTCAGCACTGTTCAAGGTTGCGAGTTCCATTCGTAGGATTTGGGTCCTGCCTGCGGAACCTAGACTTCAAAGGGCTTAGGGTTTAATTTGGGTTTTTCAGTTCCTTTTGAAATTTGCGCCCTGAACCCTAAACCCTAAACCCTAAACCCTAAACCCGAAACCCTAAACCCTAAACCCTAAACCCTAAACCCCATGGGTCTGGGGGGTTTAGGGTTCCGGCCTTTGGGTTGCCCATGCCTGCGGCTCCAACGAAGGAGCGAAGGACGCTTCCAAGAAACAATGAATCACAACCCTAAACCCTAAACCCTAAACCCTAAACCCTAAACCCTAAACCCTAAACCCTAAACCCCAGACCCTAAACCCTAAACCCTAAACCCTAAACCCTGAACCCAAACCCTACCCCCTAAACCCTGGGCCCCTCTAAACCCGAGACCCTCAACCCCAAGCCACACACCCCGAACCCAAGCTTCGTGTGGGCTTAGGGTTTAGGGTTTAGGGTTTAGGGTTTAGGGTTTAGGGTTTAGGGTTTAGGGTCTGGCCTTCTTCAGCCAGGACATGAGGCAGTCATGGTGAAACCTCCCCACTTGCAGGTTTAGGGTCTAGGGCTTAGGGTTTAGGGTTTAGGGTTACAAGTACAGTTATAAGTTCAGTTCGAATTGGTAAATAAGTACCATGAACCTCCAAGCAGTCGAAACGCGGAGGGGCTTGCGGAGGGTTGAGGGTTTGCGGGCTGAAGGAAGCTTAGGGTTTAGGGTCTTAGGGCTAAGGTTTAGGGCTTGGGGTTCCGGATTTAAGGTGTAGGGCTGAGGGTTGTAGCGTGTTGTGGGGGGGGGGGGGGGGGGGGTGGGGGGTGTGGACCCGAACAGGGTGAGTCGGCCGGAGGTGTAGGTATGTTGGAGCGCTAAGGGAGCTCTTGTGGTATTGGGGGGGGGGGGGGGGGGGAGGGTTAAGGGTCTGCTTCCCTAAGCCCCGAAGGCCTCCCACTAAGATCAACCCCGTGCAGAAAATAGGGAGCGTCATAAGTACTTTCTATTTCTGTGTGTGTGTGAACATTTAGATAAACGCGTACATATATATATATATATACACACACGCATACATACTTATTTGATGTGATTGATAGGTTGATACTACGGAGAGGGGATTGGATCCTAAATTCTACACCCTGAATCCAAAACCATTTTTATGGGTTTACTGCTACGGCCAACGTGTGCAGCCCGGCGAAAACTGGACACAAGAAACATGGGCTGCTGGCTCCAGGGTCTAAGCTTCGTGCCTTAGACTATCGGCACTCGAAAAGGTTGGGCTTAAGGTTTCAGGTATTTGGTTCGGGCTTGCACTGATTTGGCTTCAGGGTTTAGGGAGGTACATTGTACACCCTAAACCCTAAACCCTAGCCTAAACCCTTGAGCCTAAACCGCAGCTTCTACCATAAGATTTAGGGGCTTGCAGCTTTGGATTCACGGCATTACAGCCCCTAAATCCTAAACCCTAAACCCTAAACCCTAAACCCTCGGGCCTATGTCCGCACTTCAACCGCCGCCAGCTGGTCTCCTCTTCAAAAGGCAGCTGCAAGAGGGAGGAAGCGAGAGGGCGTTTCGGGCAAAGGGTTTCAGAGCTTAGGGTTTAGGGTTTAGGGTTCAGGGTTTAGGGTTTAGGGTTTAATTAAGACTTTAGAGGTTTGGGGTTTGGGATCCCCTCAGCTTCAACAAGCCTTGGCAGGTCAGATTTGCCTAGGGTTCAGGGTTTAGGGTTTAGGGTTCAGGGTTTAGGGTTTAGGGTTTAGGGTTTAGGGTTTGGGGTTTAGGGTTTAGGGTTTGGGGTTTAGGGTTTAGGGTTTAGGGTTTAGGGTTTAGGGTTTAGGGTTTAGGGTGGGCTTAGGGTTTAGGGTTTAGGGCTTAGGGCTTAGGGCTTGGGGTTTGGGGTTTGGGGTTTAGGGTTTAGGGCTTAGGGTGATATTCGAGTTTATGGGGAGCCTGCCTTGGTAGCCGTGTTTCATCAGGGCGCCCTTGATTTGGGGATGGTTACTTTCTCAGGGAACCTGAGGGTACCACTGGGCCACCAAGCTGCAAAGCGCACCAGTCAGCAAGAGGTTGGTATGGTAAGGGAGGGGTGGGGGGGGGGGGATGGGGGGAAGTTCCGTTTTGGGGTGGGTTGGGGCGGGGGAGACAGGCGGAGAGAAACAGCGCAGAGAGACGCTGAGCAGAGGGGACGGGAGGGGACGGGTAGGGAGAGGGGAAGAGACCCGGGCACCCCCTTTTCTCGCCCGGCTTGTGAAGGCATGGTTTGGCCATCTGTGCTGTCCGAAAAGAGGTGGCCAGTTGGCATGTTCCCCTTATATACTAACAGTCCTTAATAGGGATTATAATGGGGGGTGTAAACCCGAAACACCCTGAGCTACAGTAAAACCGGTGTAGAAGAAAACGGTTTTCCGGCACTAGGGTACTCGAAGTTTCTTAGTTTCCATTCACCCATGCACTCAGTGGGATTTGAACTAGGGTAGTCTTGGTTTCTGAATTCGTTTCTTAAGGGGGTATTCTATGCCGCTGGACCAAACCCATGCATACAGGCATGAGCCTTTTAATCGTATTTTGTACCCAGGCTAGAGGCACCATTTGGGTGGGTTCAGGGACTACATACCCTAAACCCTAAACCCTAAACCCGAAACCCTAAACCCTACACCCTAAACCCAAACAACTCAAAGCCCTTCCCCACCTCCATGACGAGGCAGGATGGCAGGATCTTAGGGTTTAGGAAGTTTAGGATGTAGGGCCAAAGCTGCAAAAATGGGCAGCGCCGTAAAATGTGACTCCCGCGGGTTGTGGGGTGGGGTCAGGCCAGAAGCGCGGGGGAGTCACATTCTGAAACTGTTCAGCCCGGAAAAGCTCCAAAATATGACTCCCGCGCGTTTTGGGGTGCGGTCAGGCCAGAAGAAGGGCGGGGACATCAGCCCTGAAGGCTCTAACATGTGACTCCCGTGCTTATAGCGTTTCTCGGGTTTATAGGATTTCTCGGTTTGCAGGGTTTATAGGGTTGATATAGTCTATAGGGGGTTAATAGGCGCTTGGTTATGCCTTCTAGGATTATAGGGTTTGTAGGTTTTATAGGGTTTCTAGGGTACAACAAGGGCCAACAAAACTTTGGAATGTTGAAATGGTGGTCTGGACGGCTCTGCAGCCCCGATTTTAAGAAAGCATCCCCCCCAACACTGGGTACCAAGTTTCTTAGTCCAAAGGCAACCGCAAATCGGCCACCAAAATCCCCGGACCTAGGGTGCAACGACAAAAATCCCTATTCAGGACTGTTTTTTATAAGGGGGAACATCCCAAGTAGCCAGCTTGGAAACACACATCGCCAACGGGATTGTGCCTTTTTGAAGCTGTGAGTCTCACTCCAGGTGCTGCAAACATGAACTTACACTTGCTCGCAAACATCTTCTACATTTATATCGATTGCATGCATTGTAGTACTGTAGTATAATTGCAACGTCTTGTCTTATGTTGTATGACACTGTCTGGTGTAGGGGTTTAGGAGCTCAACGGCTTGAGGATGTAGGGTTTGAGGCACCAGGGTCTCCTCGCCAGAGCATCCGCCCAAGCAAATCACGCAGTCCTCGATTTGGCTGTTCGCGTTTGGGCTAGAGCTGGCCCTAAACCCTAAACCCTAAACCCCAAACCCCAAACCCTAAACCCGAAACCCGAAACCCGAAGCCCTCAGCCCTAAACCCTAAACCCTAAACCCTAAGCAAACTCTAAGCCCTTACCCTAAACCCTGAACCCTATCCAGCGTCAGCCCTAAATCGGCCTTTAAGGGTTCCTATAGGAAACATTCGCACTAACTTCGAGACGCCTCTGCGATTCGCATGGTGCAACATGAGAACTCCAAAGTGCAGAAAACCTCACGCTAAGACACCATTTCTGGATCCGTGCCTGTGGAGAGAGGCTCGGGTGTTTAGGGATGAGGGTTTAAGGGTTTAGGGTTTAGGGTGTTAGGGTTCTCGGGTTTAAGGGCTTTTTGGATTAGGGGTTAGGGGCTTTCAGCTCCTGTAAAACCCTAAACACCCCCACTGCCTTCCTAGAAAAGAGAAATAGGTATTTCCCAAAATAGGGGGACCCTATATACCCCAAATATACTATAATCCCGTGTATAAGGACCCCCACACAGGTACCCTATCTTTCGAAAACCCCAAAGGGCCTGCACCCTAAGCCCCTTGATTTGGAGATCCTCGTCTGCGGGGCGTTCGTCCGCTGGCACTGCCGGAATGAGTACCAAGACCTCGCGCAACACAAAAGAGGCCTTAGGACAACCCTCAACCCGCAAGCCCTAAACCCTAAACCCGAAAAACTCAGGGAAGTGGGCAATTTCAAAGGCACCTGCGGGCTCTTCCTTTGGGGGCCCCTGCTATAGTACACTACGAAAGATTTAGGGTTTAGGGTTTAGGGTTTAGGGTTTAAGGTTTAGGGTTTAGGGTTTAGGGTTTAGGGTTTAGGGTTTAGGGTTTAGGGTTTAGGGTTTAGGGCCTCTAACCTAAACCCTAGCACCAAATAATACAAGGAGGGTTAGGGTTTAGGGTGTAGGATTCGGGTGTAGGCTTATGGTTTGTTGTGTAGGGTTTAGGGGCCGTAAACCAGCGAGTTCCCGAGTTGTTTGGGTTAACATCTCGCACCAAGAACCCGTACAGTGCTGCTGATCCCAACACCCAGGCCATTTGCAGCACTTCTTCGCCCGACGGGCTGGAAGGTGGAGATAATAGCCTCTCAAATTCAGTTATCTCGAGGGGCACTTCGCCCGACCCTGCGATTTTTAGCAGGCCTTTGCCGACATTACGGCTGTGGTTGGGGAGGAACCCCTGGTAGTGGGAGCTGAACTCCAGTTCTCTCCCATGAGCATGATGGGAGGCGCCAGCAGTGGAATTTGTAAGCTTCCACTGAACCCCATATAAACCCTAAACCGAATGACGTCACGGCCAGGAGAAAGGCGCATGACAAAACCGCAAGTTAGCTCATGCTCAGGGTCTAGGTTCAGCATTCACCTTGAACCCTAAACCCTGAACCCTAAACCCTAAACCCTAAACCCTAAAGCCTAAAGCCTAAACCCTGAACCCTAAACCCTAGCCCCAAAACCCTGAACCCCAAACCCTAAACCCCAAACCCGAAACCCTAAAGCCGGAAGGCTAAAGCTGAAGCAGAGGGGCCTTTGAGCCCTTCTAAACCCTAAACCCTAAACCCTAAACCCTAAACCCTAAACCCTAAACCCTAAACCCTAAACCCTAAACCCGAAACCCGCAACCCGAAACCCTACTCCTGAAGCCAGGCCTCCGGCCGACCAAGTGCAGGGTTTTCGGGGCGCACCAGACATGAAATTAATCAAAACCCCAAAGCCCTCAAACCCTCAAAACCGAACACCTTAAAAGCCCTCAAACCCTCAAACCCTAAAACCGAACACCTTAAAAGCCTAAAAGCCTAAAACCCCTGATACTCTAAAACCTTAAAACGCCCTCAAACCCTAAAAAGCCTAAACCCTAAAACCCTGTGAGCCCTCCCCCAAAACCCCTAAAGCCCCCAAAACACCCAAAACCCCTAAAACCCCTAAAACCCCCTAAAACCCCCTAAAACCCCTAAAACCCTTATGCCCTAAACCCCCACAACCCTAAAACCCTGAAACCCAAAAACCTTCAAAGCAAAAGTCCCAAACCCCAAACCCTTAAACTTGTTGTGTTTTGGTACGGTTTCGGGGTTAAAAAACACTAAATCTTTTCACCCAAAGCCGCCGCAAGAAGCCTCAGGTTGTCGCCTACACCTGTGGGATTTCCAAGCTGTAGCTATTGGGCTTCAGCAGTTTGAGGATTTGAGGGTTTGAGGGTTTGAGGGTTTGGGGCCTTTAGGGTTTTAGCGGCTTGAGGGCTTTAGGTCCCTAAACCCTAAACCCTAAACCCTAAACCCCAAACCCTAAACCCCGTTTAGGGTTCAGGGTCGGGGGCTGCCCTTTGCAGCCCCCAAGGCGCCTCCGGGTCGGTCCCCGTGGTGCTCAGCGCCTCCCGCAGGCGCTCCAAGAGCGGCCGAACCTTTAACTTCGGGGGCTTTGGGAGTTTGGCGTTTGGGGTTTGGGGTTTAGGGTTTGGGGTTTGCAGTTTGGGGTTTGCAGTTTGGGGTTTGCAGTTTGGGGTTCGGGGTTCGGGGTTCGGGGTTTGGGGGTTTGGGGGTTTAGGGGTTTAGGGGTGTAGGGGCTTAGGGGCTTAGGGGTTTAGGGGTTTAGGGGTTTAGGGGTTTAGGGGTTTAGGGGGTTTAGGGGTTTAGGGGTTTAGGGGTTTAGGGTTAGGGGTTTAGGGGTTTTAGGGGTGTAGGGGTTTAGGGGTTTAGGGGTAGGGGTTAGGGGTTTAGGGGGTAGGGGGTAGGGGTTTGGGGCGGGGGGGGGGGGGGGGAGGGGTTGGCTCGAGTTGGGGGTTTGGGGGATCTCTAGGGTTTAGGGATTGCAGTTTGGGGCTTAGGCTGCGGAACTTTTTTTTGCTTGAGGTTCGAAGCTTAGAGGGCTTGGGGCATAAGGATTCCATGGGTGAAAGCCTGCGGCTGTAAGGGGTTTAGGGTTTTCACAAGGGTTTAGGGTTTAGGGTTTAGGGTTTAGGATTTAGGGTTTTGGTGGGTTTAGGCGGGAGATATTGCATTGGGGCCTAGGGTTTAGGGTTCGTAAGCGGCTGGCCAGCTACGTGTTCATGCGAGGTCCTTTGTCGCAGCTTTCCTTCCGATTCAGGCCTTCAGGCTTTAGGAGTTAGGGAGATCGGGTTGTGTCTAACGCAACTCGCCTTCTCAGCCAAGAACCCACGACATCTTGGACACCCCCAGCCCCTATCCTGGTTCAGGGTTTAGGGTTTAGGGTTTCGGGTTTAGGGTTTAGGGTTTAGGGTTCAGGGTTTAGGGTTTAGGGTTAAGGGTTTCGGGTTTAAGGTTTGCGCCCAAGCTAGCCTGAGGCATTCGGCTAGGGATCCTCGTGGCACGAAAGACTGCATCCAAGACACGGCCACCGCAGCAACAGCCGCAAAGAGCACCAGCATGAACTCCGCGAGGAGCAGCAGGCAGGCTGCAAGGTGGGGGGTCTAGGGATAGGGTTTAGGGTTTAGGGTTTGGGGTTTAGGGTTTTGGGGGTTTGGGGTTTAGGGCTTAGGGTTCAGGGTTTGGGGTTTAAGGTTTGGGTTTTAGGGTTTTGGGGGTTTAGGGTTTAGGGTTTGGGGTTTAGGGTTTAGGGTTTAGATTTTGGGGTGTAGGGTGTAGGTTTTAGGGTTTAGGTTGTAGGGTTTAGGATTTAATTAGCGTAGTTCCCGAAATTCGGGACTACTGTCCCACTCCCGGCCCCTTCCACAAACAAAAGGGAGCTGCAGGCTAAAAACACATTCCCAGCATTTCCGCCGAGTACAGGTCGATTGACAATATAAGACTGTTGGTGCCTCCATTCAAGAATATCGTTCAATCGTTTAGAGCACTACTGGTTGCTTAAGAAACCCACAAAATCATGAACATTCTTCCTTATAAGGTTAATGCAGGGGGAACTTATCTTTTCGGGGTTCTGATGCAAATGATAGAGTACAGTACCAAAAAAGTGCCACAATCTAAACCCTAAACCCTAAACCCTAAGCCATCCTCAGGCTGCAGATCGGCAAAATCACCCAAGAAGGCGCCACTTGTGGCTCAGGAGCTTCGGGACAAGGGCGTAGGGTTTAGGGTTTAGGGTTTAGGGTTTAGGGTTTAGGGTTTAGGGTTAAGGGTTTAGGGTGTAGGGTTTAGGGTTTAGGATTAGGGTCTAGGGTTTAGAGTTTAGGGTTTAGGGTTTAGGGTTTAGGGTTTAGGGTTTAGGGTTTAGGGTTTAAACTAGAGAAGCCGAAGGCCGAACTCCTAAATCCAGGGAAAGCTCCACATGCTAAGCCCAACTCTCACTTCCCCTCGGGGTAGTTGCAAGGACCCTTGGGTTTAGGGTTTAGGGTTTAGGGTTTAGGGTTTAGGGGTTTAGGGGTTTAGGGGTTTAGGGGTTTAGGGGTTTAGGGGTTTAGGGTTTAGGGTTTAGGGTTTAGGGTTTAGGGTTTAGGGTTTAGGGTTTAGGGTTTAGGGTTTAGGGTTTAGGGTTTAGGGTTTAGGGTTTAGGGTTTAGGGTTTAGGGTTTAGGGTTTAGGGTTTAGGGTTTAGGGTTAATAAGGTCCTTGTTTAAGAGAGCCCAGAAGAGGGTTAAGAAGGGTTCCCTTTGTCCCCCTTATCCGACTTAGGAGGTATGGGCCTTAAAACCGTTATATACCCCCTATCTAAACCCTGGGCCCATGCTTCAGAACCCTTTAAGAAGGGCAGGGGGGATTGGGATGTTCCCCCTGGTACTAACAGTTCTTAAACGGGATTGTACTACGGGGTGCGACAATCCCTAAACCCTAAACCCTAAACCCTAAACCCGAAACCCTAAACCCTAAACCCTAAACCCTAAAACCTAAACATCTCAAGCAAGGGACCATGCCCTCGAACCTCGCATCTTCTCTAAGCCGGCGTTCGAAACACCTCTACGATCGCTATCTGCCATGATCCCCAAACTGACCTTTCAAGTCCTACTTGAACCTCTTGCGCTTAGGGTTTAGGGCTTAGGGTTTAGGGTTTTAGGGTTTAGGGCTTAAGGTTTAGGGTTTAGGGTTTAGGGAAAGTTTAGGGTGTGGGGCAACCTGCAACAGTTTTGAGGGTTTAGGATTTTGGGTTTAGGGTTTAGGGTCTAGGGCTTAGGGTATAGGGTTTAGGCCCTAAAGATCTTTTGGCGAAAGCCTAGACCCTAAGTTGGCTTGCGGCCGAATCCCTGGCTTTGCCAACTCTAGTTGGGCGACGAGAGTTCAACTGCGCCGCTTGTAGTGTTTAGGTGTGTATGGGTACAGGGTTCAGGGGTTTAGGGTTTAGAGTTCAGGGTTGAAGGTTTAGAGGTTTAGGGGTTTAGGGGTTTAGGGTTGAGAGGTTTAGGGTCGCCTGGCTGGCAGCTCCATCTAGTAGCTTGCAGCCGCCCTAGTGACACAGACGGAATGTCTGGAGCACTGAAGGATACCGGCGTTGGCTGGCGCCGGCGAGCATGGGCCGGTGCAGCAGTGGTGCCGCACTCGAGAGGTCCGATGTCCATCCGACGGATAACCGTGTCGCATTTATTCGTTTGTTCGCCAAGTTTGAGGTGCAGATGTAGCTCACGGCAGTCGCCAGAGCCCCATCTCACTTCGCAAGCTCTAAACCCTTAACCCTAAGAGACGCTAACCCTAAACTCTAAACTCCAAACCCTAAACCCTAAACCCTGAACCCTGAACCCTGAACCCTAAAACCCTAAACCAAACCCTAACCTTGCCACGAGTGCATGTTGCACGAAAGCACCCCCCCAGTTGAAACCCAAAACCTCTAAGTGCCAAGAAAACCTTTCACATCTTGAACTCGTAGGGCTTCGTGTTTAGGGTTTAGGGTTTATAGGGTTTATAGGGTTTACAGGGTTTATAGGGTTTACAGGGTTTACAGGGATTAAAGGGTTTATAGGGTTTATAGTGTTTACAGGGTTTATAGGGTTTACAGGGTTTACAGGGTTTAAAGGGTTTATAGGGTTTATAGGGTGTATAGGGTTTACACGGTTTACAGGGTTCATAGGGCTCATAGGGTCTTTAGGGTTTAAAGGGTTTATAGGGTTTATGGGGTTTATGGGGTTTATAGGGTTTATAGGGTTTATAGGGTTTATAGGGTTTATAGGGTTTAGGGTTTTTAGGTTTGGGATTCCCGTGCCTTGAACCAGGAAGTGGCGCGCGGGCTCGCAGGCGCCAAACTGGCAGGCGGCAGGGCGGCAGGACCGGCTCACTGTAAGAAATAATCAACATACCTATACTCCCCTTAGAACCTTAAATAAAACTAAGTTCAAATATCCTCTTGGGTGTTATATAAACAACAAAAATGAAAACCTCCCTTAGACTCTAACAATCTCCTGTTGTAGGCTAAGGGGTATGGGTTTGGGGTATGGTGAACTATTCTCAGACACAGGCGAGCTTGAAGGTTACAGGGTTGTAGGGTTTCAGGGTTTTAGAGCTTTAGGGTGTTCGGGTTGGAGAGATTTAGAAATTAAGGGTTTTAGGGTGTTAGGGTGTTAAGGTTTCGGGTTTTCGGTGCTGAGAATGCCAAGCCGTCAATAACCCCCCCCCCCCTAAACCCCTATGGAAGCCCGAAAAACTTCTAGCCTAAACCCCTTAACAGAAATCCAAAAGTAGCACACCCATATATATATATATATATATATATATATATACATATATACATATAAGTATATATATATATATGTATATGCATATGTGTGTGTTATACGGATGTATCATTATCACATGTTATTACTATATCTTGAATATAATAGTTAAATTAATACGGCCTCATGAAAGCCGAAGTGTCTGATTTCAGGATCCCGGCCTTGTGCACTACTGGCACGGCGCTCAACACCCACCTGCGACGCGAAGAAGCCGAGGGTTCTGGGGTTTAGGGTTTAGGGTTTAGGGTTTAGGGTTTAGGGTTTAGGGTTTAGGGTTTAGGGTTCGTGGGCTCATGGGTTCAGGAACTACAATAAGGGCTTTGGCGTGCAGCAGGGGGGTTTAAGTAGGCCCTACAGTACAAGCCCTGAACCCTACACCTCAAGGTCGCACAGATCTACCCTAAACCCTAAACCCTAAACCCTAAACCCTAAACCCTAAACCCTAAACCCTAAACCCTAAACCCCCCCCACCCCAAACCCCAAACCCGAAACCCTAACACCACTAGACTGCAACCCCTAGAGTAACCTAGGAACAACAAGGGCACCGGTTTTTGGTTTAGGAGGGCTTGCATAATCTAAATACCCTAAAAACAAAGGGAAGAACCTAAATACCCTAAAAACAAAGGGAAGAACCTAAATACCCTAAAAACAAAGGGAAGAAGGGCCTACTCTGGTCCTAGTTTCGCGCAAATTCCACACAGCCTTGCAACCAAAATCCTTTGGGGCCTATAGGGCTTAGGGCTGTCTTGCCGGAGCTGCAGATTCCTCGCGCGCGATCAGGGCCGCCGTATC